CTCTCTCTCTCTCTCTCTCTCTCTCTCTCTCTCTCTCTCTCTCTCTCTCTCTCTCTCTCTCTCTCTCTCTATCTCTCTCATACTCCTACTGTTACTGGATGTATCTAGCCATCTATCAACCTTTTCATTGTATAGATTTGAAGCATCGCAGCCCGTTGCTGCTACACTCAATAATCAATCAGCCACATACGTCACCAACACAGATTACTTCACAAGCAGTCAGCAGTCGCCCCATGTTCACGCGTCCTCATACTAACACAGACTACTTGTATGTGTTCATGATCGCCTTCCACGTGGCTTTGATCTCTTCCTTTGGCGTTGACCACAGACGCCTCAGCTGCGGCCAGCCCGCCTTCGCTGTGGTCAGCAGGTATTCGTTTCCCGGGTCAGTCTGCGTGTACGTGTACTCGCCCATGACCAGAGACTGCGTGTACCTACTCGCCACGCACACCTGCGTAAGCAAATCATGAATATTATTAACGACTTACAATACTTACGCAACGGACACCCGCGCGTTGAAGTAGAAAAAACCCACGTAAATCACTGCCGCAGTATTTTACAAGTGGAAAATAAATCTTCGCGCGAAAGCTTGCAGCAAGACTCGTCGATCCAGAGGTCTGTTCGACAGAAGCGCACGTTTCTCACTGGTATCGCGATGACATTGATGTAGAACTAGATATATAGTCTAAAATGCGAGCTAATGTAGTAGCGTAAGAGCAGGAGACGTCTGATGGATTAGCCGAATTCGAATTCTAAAGTAAATATTTCAGCCTCTTTTCAATATATACCTCCATAAATATTCTAATTTCTCACTAAAATATGATTATTACACTACTAAAGCTAGCCGAAAATCAAGAGGCTTAAGAATCCACACGAAAGTCTACGCAAGTAACGAAATTCACGCTAAAGGAATTACGCACTATCATGCTAACGTCAATAGGCCTATCTAGAGGGAAATCACACATTGCGCAAGAAATAAAATCATCTCCGCCGGTAAAAACAAGGGTTTTTCACGATTACCTTAAGACGTAGGCCTACCTACGGCCGTTCTCACGCCTCACGCTACACAGCCATCATCACTCTCGTCAAACTCCCATCTCTGCTCATATTTCAGCTATCTCCTCTCCCAGGCAGCTGCCGCGGACGCGTAGGACACTTTACCTTTAACAAGTCAAACTCCTCATCCGACAATGGCTTCACGCTGAAGTATCCAGCTATCACGTGACCTCCGACCTCTATGAGATCGGCATTCTTGTTCTCCAGCATCATGTATGTTACGAGGAGAGCCAGCTGCGCAAAATCAATCGATTCATGTCATCGAAGCCGTTGCCAATCAGAAATCAGTTAAAAATATCTAGGCGATCCGCAAAATTCGTCAGTGTTTTGGAAAGCTGGGAGTAAGTTAATTTACAATAATATTGGATGGGGACGTCCTGAATTTAAGAAACTCGATGAATATATAAAACATAGATTTAAATATGCGGTCTCCTTTTTCCCAATATATCCTCCTATACAGCCACTATGGATGACGTCTCGGGGCTTTCATAAACCACACTGCTTGGTCCCGTCACAAATACGGGATGCACTTAGGCCCTACGCGCACGCACACACGCAATCTTCCTGTTATATGCGACAATCACTGCGCGTTATAAAAAAAACACGTAGTAATTTTCCACGCGTAACCCTCTTGGGTTTAGTTAGTCCCGAATGTAGTAGAATTCGACGTTATTCCTAATAAAGGTGTAGGAATTTAGAATCGAAGGTGTTAAAGGATGAAACAGAAACAGCAAGCGGGAATGCCACGTTGCTCAGTCGTTGCTACTGTAACAACTGCTGCTACTGCGGCGACCAGTCGCTGCATGGCCCTGTCACTACTTGCCCTAGTTTCATCTCTGCGAAAATAATGGCGGTTCAAGTGCTATTTTAGTCGCACCCCACCACCAACCCCTGCATGAGGGAAAGCTGTGGTAGAACTAAATGCTTCTAACCGACTCAAACATATAGAAGTTTTGTCGCTGGCACTAACCGCGATTTATTTAAGGTGAAATTGCTTAGGTATTCATAATGTGCGTTTGTTTATATATTAGATGTTTTGCGTATTTGACGGCTTTGCTTTGAAATACGAGTTGTCCAGAAGTTCCTAAATGCGACTCCGCTCTAAACGCAATAGGGTCACTATTAAAAAAATTCCATCCCTTTCTCCTCACCTACGTGTGCGTGCGTGCGCGTGCGTGCGCGATTACCAAATGATAACGTCCAGCATAGACGAAATAAACTTGTCCTGCGTTTCGGTAACTTTTTTCTGTAACAGTTGACACACATGAACAAAATATTCTTTCAGATTCGGATCAAGAGTTAAATGCCTAATTTTGTACTTCCCTGTGCACAATATAGCAACACCCGCGGCAATAGCTACGTCAGAATGTTACCATTTTTTAAAGGCTTTGAACCTTTAAACATTTTTTTAAAGGAAGTGTGCTGAAATGTTTCGGGCGTTGTAAAAATTCAGGCAAAAAATTCAACATCATAAGCAAATGAGCATAATGACATGTACGCATTTACAGAAACATAAATTTATTATAACGTTGCTTCCAGCTTCACACTGACGGTAAGCAGATATGTGTATAGATATGGCACGAATCAGTAGCGATCGAGAAAGAGTGCGTTCACAACACCGGGATTTGTTACCAAGACTAACAATAAAAGACTAGGCACAGTCTGAGTATTTACTCTGCATTTATGTTACTTACTATATAATATATATATAATATAATATATATATACTATATATATATATTATCGGAAAACGGTGGGCTTAGTCTCAATGGCATACGTAAACGATTTTCATGTAAAAATATATGATGTGACAGCTAAGCTCTCACGATCCGCGGATTTTTGTTGTAATACAATATAATCAGGAGTGAATAATAATAGATTATTTATAATTATAATCTATTATTATTCACTCCTGATATATACCTAATGTAAATACCGCGTGCGGTGTAGACCAGAAACACAAGACACTTGTTTGCAATAACTTTGTTCGATATCCAACATGTTTGGTACTTGATGTTTTGTCTCTATATCAAAAACGGTCAGTGTCGCACAGTTTCACTGCACGCATTAGCCCCACGGGTACACCATAACACGGTGTTTTATAAAACATTTTTCTATCTTTCTATTATTCATTAGCGATAGAAAAAATATAACACTCGCTATAATGTAATGATTTTGATTGGTCATCCATTTAAAAACGGATTACATACACAAGAGTATAGCATACGGTAGGTAAAAATAAGTAAGCATCAACACTTATTATCAAATATAGTATATGGACAATCGCCTTTTAATCTGGAATGAACAAACTGGATGACTTATAATAATAAAATTAATCATAATAAAAAATCTCTTTTTTTCACTCTCTATCTCTCTCTCTCTCACTGTCACTGTCACTCTATCGCCCATTGAAGCTTATCTGAAGCCTCTCTGCAACATCGCCGATTTGTCCAGATCGGCATTCATGATACCGCTATCTATATTCAAGAAGTGCAAGAGAAGGTCAGCAGCTTCCGGATGATGCTGAATGGGAAGTGGAACTTCGTCTTACACCGCGGCTTACAGCATCAAAAGCGATTTGTTGATATGGTTGGACGTGTATCTCAGAAGAACGTGGCTGGTAGCAATATGGTTACGCACGGTTGTTGACACATCCTTCTGTCGTATCGCATCGCGATGGAAATCCTAACCTCCCGCATGAAACGCACCGGGTCATGGAGGTGCGCGGGGTCTGCAAAGACGCAATAAGGATCCACCGGAGGCGTTGATGTTGACTGAAAATCGTCAATCATCGACCAGTAACACGCGCTGCTGTTGAACTGTGATTTACGCGTTCCAGAAGTTTCGGGTGCAAAGGCTCGAATATAGTTTCCGATGTCAAAGCGCAAGAGAGTAAAGCCTGACCCTATATTTCGGCGAGCCGTAGCTAGACCATGCACCACACGATACCTGACTTCAACCACCTCAATGCGATGGCGTTTAATATGCACCCTATAAATTCTTTGTTGTCCGTGGCATGGGCTTGCCTGGCTGTCAGCATCGTATCGGTGTGTTGTCACATGACAATACAAGGTACAAGGCAAAACTTTCTGGACTAAGCAGTGCCCGACCTCCGCGCAATATCCATGTTTAGGGCGAGAGTCATTGAACATTATGTGTCAATTTGGGAAATCCAGAAGGCAACACATTAAATCAGCCGTCCAGCAGTTTGACGGCAGGTATGCGAGATGAATGTACGTTACTGAAGCGGGCATTGCGTCCATCTATCGAAATGGTATGAACATAATCTGGCTTCGCGCCGCAATGCAGAATGTGGTGCTATGCTCGATTATGATGATCTGACCAACGAGACCTTGATACTTGCTATCAAACTTCAAACAATTGAGTCTCAGGCGAAAGCAGTAAAGGAATGATTATAAACGCGGTGTGACGCTTGTTTAACGTGTCAATACCAGTTTGTACCAAGCAAGTGCTGGAAATCTTTGATTAGAAAGGAGGCAATAAGAGGTTCAGCCTTCAGATTGTCATTTCGGCTAAAGAATTCGATGAGGTTTTAGAGATCACAAAAAACAGATGGCAACTGCTATTAGGCCTTAAATTATTTACCGTTATATATCATATACAAATAACGACTGGAAAATCTGCCTAAACGTAGGGGGTGACTTTAATATCCTCGCTACACTCTTTCACAACAGCAAGACGATCAGAGTTTTTAAGGGCTCTCCACGGTTCTGCCCTACTACAGTCTCGCATTTGCTTAGGCTCTATCAAAAGCCGTCATTGAAAAACAGTACTCCAGCAACAGTGTATCCATGGAACAGGCCACAAAAAACTCATGACCAAGATCTGAGCAAGAAACGTCGCAACCGGTTTTGCTTCGCAATTGGCGTGCACTACCTTTATTCTCATTCTAAAATCATGCTTGCTGATAAAAATGGCCGCCTTTAATGATGGTATCGATGGCGACTACGCTATTCGAATGATGCGCATGATAACGCCAACTGCTATTCTAGCTTAATCTTACTCGCCCCCCCTTACGCCCCGCGATTAAAACCGCCCACAAGAACTACCGAACGAAGGATTTCTTTTTAATCGTTGGTATTGGGCGTTTATGGCTTATTACGCTTGCATCATCATCTAGATTTTTTAGCGTCTTGAAAATATTGTCACTGCACAATTAGAGCGCTTAAACGTTATTCACCTATCCAGTAATGGTTCATTGCTTAGGGCGGATTTTCTTTCGCTGAAAAAAATCACGGCGGGCGTTCTTTTGCATCTGCCTTAATAATTAGTTTATTTAGGGGTCGCCCTTTTGTTCTTTAATGAATCAGTAGGTGATGGGAAGCTAACACTGGCATTTTGGCCAACGAGCTTAGTCGCTGCTGGCTGGCATTGAAGGTTTTTCCTTTGATTGTGATTTTTTACAAAATCGTTATATCGCCTTAGGCGAGTTTTGATCTTACCGAGCTATAGCGGATGTCATCCGCGACCTATTTGGATTGTTGTCTTCAGTTTTTCAATTACGCGCTGAATTTAAGTGAATTTGAATGTGTTCCGCCAAAGCTTCTGGTTTCTAGTTTCTTGTTAGGCGATTTTCTGTACTTTGATTCCTAAGTTTTTTTACCAGCGAAAGCGATTAACCGTTCTCGGTGGCACGGCGGATGAGTATTACCGGTCAGTGTTGGCCCAGTTTGTAACAATATTATTACGGCTTTTTCGTTACTGGATGAAGCATTTGGATGGTCGCATCTACTTGGTTAGTTTCGTAATGGGTTGGTCGTTTGTTTCGTTGCGACTAACAGGGCGAAAGTCTATCCCTAGATAGATTATTATCGAACAGGTAAAATATAGAGCTCCCTAAGTTGAAAAGTACCTCGCACATAGCATAAAATTCTCAAAATTTGGTTTTTACCCAACAAAAACAATATTGTCATTCAAAAGAAGGGTGCACTTTTCTTAATCATTAAGGCATCTATGAGCAATCTCGGTCTCTGCGGGAAAATGGCGTTTTAAATTGTTCACATGCCCGAGGATTAATGACAAGTGAATCTAGTCAATTGACGTAACTGCAACATCACTGCCTTCCTCAACAGGGAGAATTTTGCGACTTGTCTTCCTGCCAGCCTAGTTTGTGTCCTGAGTATCCGTCAAAAGGGACTTCAAGATGGCTGCAACTCAAATTCTTTTTGAACGGTAGTGCCACATAACAATCAGATTGTTCCACATTTTCCTTCACATAAATTATTCTCGCTCTCTCTCACTCCTCCTCCACAAGTTTAGTCGCTCTCTTCTCTATCAGTCATCTTTCTCTCTCTATTTTTACTGAGCTTCTTGCGCGCTTTTCTACACCGCACTATCACTGCCTGGTCTGCCTCGCTAGCTCTCTAGAAGAAACTGAGATTGAAAGAAGTCTGGCAAACCTCAAATACGTAGTACGATCTGTGGCAGTCACCAAAAGTCATAAACCCAGCTACTTTGGTATTCTGGACTGAGCATGATCCTTCCGTGCCTGCTTAGGCCTAACGATGATGTTCTGCTCATTGAAGTCTCCATGCAGCTGACCTGTTTAAATTCAAATTAATTATACTCCAGCAAAAAATGGCCGCCGCCCGGCGCCATATTCGCCTCAGTTAACGCAGCTGCTGAGACTACGATTTCTCTACAAGTTCCGGTCGATTCATAGTAATCTTTTAGTAAAATATTGTACTTGATAAGCAAAGACAGATAATAACAAGATCTAGGTTGCGCTGTTACTAACATAAAATTTTCTGTTCTCGGTTATATTATTTCTTATATAAAACATGTAACACACCTCTAATTCATTTTTTTCTCTATGCAATTAAAAGGCTAATATAGTATACGGAGACCCGCTTGAATACGATTATGTGGCCCCGTCAGTTTCTGAACTAAACGGGGGTTTGAACTGTAGTAATATTCTAGAGAAAATGTAGGCCAAAGGCGCTTCGCAGTAATGGTTTTATATCTTCCGCACGTAGTGTCCGAACGTATTGTTTTCGCGCGCGTTTGTGTTTGTGTGTGTGTGTGTGTGTGTGTGTGTGTGTGTGTGTGTGTGTGTGTGTGTGTGTGTGTGTACGTGTGGTGCATGTGGTGTGTGTGTGTGTGTGTCGTGGTGTGTGTGGCGTGTGCGTGTGGTGTCGGGTGCGTGTGCGTGTGGCGTGTGTGTCTGGCTCGATCATTTTGCAAACCGTGTAGAGGTAGAAAACTTCAAAGTCTTGGTCCAGATGGTGACCTTTGAGGGGCGGTGGCGAACCCTAGTTGATTTTTGTGTGGCCATGGTCACACTAAGGTCAGGGTAACAGGTTCACATTTGATAAAAGTGGATAGATGATTAGATAGATAGATAGAATAGATAGATAGATAGATGGATGGATGGCATGGATGGATGGATGGATGGATGGAGATCGGATGGATGATGGTATGGAATCGGATTGGATGGTTAGGATGGATGGATGGGATGGATAGAATAGATAGATAGATAGAAATAGATTAGATAGATAGATAAATAGATAGATAGATAGATAGATCGATAGATAGGACTAGATAGGATAGATAGATAGATAGGAAGATAGGATAGATAGGATAGAAGATAGAGTAGATATGATAGATAGATAGATAGATAGCGATAGATAGATCAGATGATAGATGGAATAGGATGGAGTAGGGATTGGATAGATGGATAGAGGATGGAATGGATGGATTGATGGATAGATTACATAGATGGATCAGATAGAATAATGGCGACATAGATAGACTAGATTAAGATAGATAAGAAGATAATTAAATATGATAGATATGATAGATAGACTTAGATAGCAAACATAAAGTAATTGACTAGATAGATTTGCGCTGAGTGCGAGCGTGCAGAGAGTGGGGAAGGACGTTGATTCCACAGGCCAGCGCGTGGTGCCGTGCGATCCACTGCTTAGCGCTGTGCGTTGCGTGTGTTGTAAGTCCTTACAGCCAGCGCACTAGCGCGAAGTGGCAACTGAATCGTGCATTGTTTTCCAGGGAGATTTTTCGCGGATTAGATTTTGCTAATTAATCGTTTTTTAAAGCGATCATAACCCAATAAATACAAACAAGCAACAGTTGTTGGATATCGAACCTGAATGCTGTAGGAATGAAGCACAAGAAAATTTTCAGCCGGATTCGTGCACGCGCCTAGAAGTTATCGCAGAAGCAGACAGAACGAACTACTCAAATTATTGAATAATAGATAGTGACAACTACTTAGTGATCAGTGGGTGGTGGTAATTAGGTAGGCAAAACAGTTATTTTGAGGACGCGGGATTAAACCATTTTAATTAACTGGGAACCGGGAAATACCTGATAAAATATTTCGTGATTCGGGGATAGATTGAAGTCGACGCGGAAATGCCGAAATAGCGTATCGGGAACTAGGAAACTGCACGCTTTTTTACTGACAATCTAGGAATGGGCCCCGATTCTTCACTCTACAGTGAGCCAACACTATCGCTATTGTAAATCATTGATGGCGTTCTGTGAACATTCTCAATATACGCGTGTCTATACTGGCGCGAAACGAGCAAACAGCGACCAACGACACTCGCGCTTCGGTATGTGCGTGTTTGAATAGAGCGATAAATGGTTTACTTATATGTTTAACGGCTTACGCAGATATACAGTAGCATATCTACGCTGAGGTGGCAGGGAATGTTGAGATCCATATGGGTTTAGCTGCTGGCACTAATATATATATATAGTATCAAAAGTCAATAATAGAAAATAAATAATGAAAAATAGAAATGTTCTATTATAGACTCTTGATAGTATATATATATATATATATAATATTATATATACATATATAATATATATATATATATATAATAATATATATATATATATATATAGTAATGCGTGTGTAGGCACGAGGCCACAAGTTACTGAAGGCTTTTGCCTGACACTGATACCTCTCTGTGTGCTTGGGTAAAATGGTACCACGAGTTACACACGCGTTTACCTCGCACCCGACCCCTCTGCATATTAGGGTATAATAATAAACATGTTTATGAACTAGGCGATAAG